ACACAGATTGGTCTGAAAAAGGTCGCAGAGAGGGTTTTTCATGCTGAAGGGGCCGCACATATGCCTATTTGCCAATTCATTTTCTATGTATCTATAGAACGCTTGTGAATCGATGCTGATCGATTGCAAGTTGTCCTGAATTAATTTTACTTAGGGTCCTCTGTAATTAAATCTGAAGCCGTTTTTTAAACTATTTACTAGGTAATCGATGAATGGTCAGTTAGGGTGGGTCCTAGTAAAGTGTTGAAAAGCTAAGATATTGACTGGTGTTTGCACGTTGAACAATTGTAGGTCCAGTTAGGCTAGCAACTTTATTTCAGTCTCTGTTATTGGGATTTCTGGAGGTGGCCTAGCCGTTAAGGTCTCATTTACTGACTGGAGTGATAGAGGTTCATCTGTTGTGATCACACGTGATAGTTTGAACTGTGCAGCATGCTTAACAGGGTGCCTGGCCTGTACTTGTGATAGTTCTAGAAGGTAGGTGTGGAACAATTGTTGTTAATGCGTGATCGTATATTATAGTCAGTAGGATATGTTAAAGATGAAGCAAAGGTTTCTTGACTAGGTATCTGCGTTATTGGCCTGGTTTTGTCGCTATGGTAAGTGTGAATACGCTCTTTAGTGTATGGGTATATATCTTTGTTCATATATATTGTAATAGATCTTTCTCTTTTATATATATATATATTGATTTTATTTATTTGCCTATGGATCGTATACATATATGTGTGTATGTATGGGAGGTAAGTATATAATGTATGCTCATGCTCTTCACTTTCCTTACTCTTCGCGCGTTAATATATGTATATATAATTAACTATTTTCATTATTATTTTATTTTATTTATTTATATATATATTTTTTTTGTTTTGTTCTGTGTTTAGCTCTGAAGGCCCCTCTCTTTTTTTTTTTTTTTTTATAAAAAAAAAACATCATTACTATTATTGTTCTTCTTAACATATTGTTATTAACCACTGTCGATTATTCGTTAGTTCTTGGATGAGTAAGGGCCCAAAGTGTTTGGTTGTTTAGAGTTGGGTTGC